TAGCTGGATTTTTTTTTTTTTTTTTAACCCACGTCGCGCTGTTGCTTAGGACTTTCTGTACAACGCCTATAAGTATGCACACATCTTAGTGGACCGCAGCATACACTTTTTAATGCACATCAAAATACACAATTGTTTAAAATATATAAACAATTTATTTTTAATTTGCCAAATAAACTTTTTTTGCTTGTGTATAATTTGTATTTATCTTTATTATTATTTTTTTTTTAATTTCAACGCTGCAGCGTCTATTAAATGCCAACTACGACAACCGTACGCGCGTATATCCTTAACTCAACTGAGACAACACTAATGTGTCTATGGAATTTTGCGCAGTTCCAGCTGCGGGAGCAGACAAAGCAACGAGTGTTTGTGCTTTCCAATTTCGAACATCCTACAAACCACCCTCTTATGAGCATGGAGAGCACAAAAAAAGAGTGCCATGAGACATAAGGGATGCTTCGATAGCGGCTGGGAAAGTTTTGAAAAGGTGTAAAGCTTTTGTTTGACAAGTTTTCTTTTGGCAGCTGGTTCAATGTGGTATGCCACCAAAGAGTGTAGTATGGTAGGCAGCATTAAAACATGTTTTCTGAGAAAATTTATTTGTTTTTTTTTTTTAAGACGTGTACTAGGTATGTAAATTCGAGAATTACTTACCCATAATTCTGTTTGATTTACCTAAACTTGGTATTGAGTTTTGACTTGCTTACGAGATTTTCAACTTTTCAAGTGCGTTTTCGATTTTTAAAATCCACTCGTCTCGCTCTAATAAAAATGAAGAGTTTTGAATTGTAATCATGCCTGTAAAGATTTCAAAAATCAAATACCACGCTAAATGCTCAGAAGAGAAGAAAACCAAAAAATACAAATAAATTCGTTTAAGTTAAATAAAGCAAAATAAAATATGTAAAATAGGATTTGTTCCCAAATTTTTAGTCGCATAGCGAGTGAAAAATCAAACTGTAGATGGAATATGAGTACTTTAACGCTATTTAATGAACATCATTGCGTTTTTAAAAAATTTTTAATTTCGTTTATATTGTTAACATTCGTAAATGTTGCTTAATATAGCTTTGCTTACTTGTAAGCTTGCTGTAGGCTATTTTATTTAGATTATTATATCATTTTGCAACAAAACAATCAACGTTTTTTAACTATTATGTATTTACATATGTATATGATAAAATTAAATCAGCATCAGCACTGCAAAATGTACAAAATGCGAACTAATTAATAGAAAGAAAAACATTTTTAAATTAGTAAATCTAGTATGCATGTATGTGGCCATGAAAATAATAACTCTTTTACACGTCGAGCACTAACCAACAAAAAAATCTGAGCGACATTTTTTCGAAATTTTCATTTTGATGCGAAAATGCTCATAGAGCATCGAGATGCATTTCTACATCAAAAAGAAAATTTTGGAAAAACTCTCATACATAAATTGCTCCGAGTTTCGGGTTGTTTTAAAATGAATGGAGTGAAAATCCTTGGCTGGATTCAAATACGGGCCACGGCTGCATAGACCCGTTTGTCGTGGAAAAACTTGTATCCTTTGCAGTGATGACGCCGAAATGTAGATATGGATTTAATTTTAAAACCTTTTAAGCATGGCATAAAAGAACATTTTTTTATTCTGTCTTGTAATCAATTTAATTTACTTTAAACTTTTTAGTTATAATTTAACGCAAGCCAATAATACTTACAAACTTATGCAACGAGCACACACAGCTTCATTAATCGCTATATTTTTTACAATATTCTTCTTTTTTTCAATTCTATAATACACACATTTCGCTTCATTCGTGTAGGAAAGAGTACGTCGTTTATTTACCTATTTACTTAGTAATTTCACTATTGCCTTTTCTACATTTCGGCGCTTAACATTTGGCGGAGCAACCACCAATCTCAGAAAGTTGGATGATTTCGTATGAAAAATATATCATATTCCTTTTCGATCCACTTAATCAACTTGTCTACGTTTTTTATGACCGCGCACTTATCTACAAGCGGTTCAAAAACTGCATAAAGCTCATAGGCAGCTGTCACCCAAGCGAGCACCACTTCACGATCGTGCACCTCGTAAATTAACTTTAGCGGTCGCGAGCTATTATGTATGCGATGCAGTAAATCACAGTATATGCCTTCCAAGCGTTCAAATTCACTCAACGTAGAGTAAGGAGGCGCCAATTCTGAACAGAGTAGCTGCGCCGCCGCTTTGGGTTTATAAAGGAAGTGCCGTAGTTCGGGTATGCCAATAGCTGTCAAATTTAAACCACCATTAGTGGGTTTCTCAATTTCTTTACTTATCGCTTCGAGACATTTCGAAGAACGAAGTTTTTCAGTTATACGTCTTTTAGCATCGGAGAGGGTGAAGAACACATTGGGGTCGACGGAGAGTAATAGAAGGCATGCCTGACAATCATCAGTGAGATACGAAACATGCGCATACAAATAACCATTCATATCGAATTTCGGCAAGCAGATAGGTGTCCAATTTTCCGAAGCCTTAAAAGACTCTGAGCACTCGATAAGATTAAAAATTAACCTGCAGTTGAAGAGGAAAATATGTTTGCTAATCAACTGAAAGTTTTGGTATGTATGCCTTTTCTTACCGCAAGTCTGCTGGATGTATAGAATATTTTTTCATGCGCACCAGCGAAATTAATTTGTTATTTGCTATGAGCACCGCAAATACTAAATCCTTAATTTTTGAGCAATTGCTTTGTATGGCGCTGACGATATTCGAACGCACAGTTGTAGATAATGGCATTACACGTATGGAGTTCGTTAGGAAGGTGAATACATTATTCGTCACTATTATTAGGAAAGATAATTTTAGATATTTTGTTTTTTTGGTTATTAAAATTCCTATTGTAATGGAAAAACTTACCGCGCTTATTACTGCTATCATTTGAGAGCAAATGATATATTAGTCGCTCACTACCTGCAAGCGAGCGCCGTAGATCGAAATTTTTACGCTTTTCAAAAATGCGCGTAACATGTTTGTAGGTGAGTGTTGATAAAATCTGATTGTAGACATCACTACAATTTTGAAATAATTATTAAATTTATATTTAGTTTCTCCTTAGTAATTCTCGCTCACCTCAGTTGATGCTGCAGCTGTGGCACACTCATATTTGTGCGCGACGCAGCGACCAGTATGAGCGTATTCCGCGTAAGAAATACAAATTTTATGCCATTCGCATGTATGGACGTAATAGCATCTTGACCATGTTGCACAAAGCTAACCAAAGCTTGTATGACGCCAAATAGTGTCGCTAATTTATCTTCATTGCCGTGCAACGAATATATGGGTTTTCCTGCCTCGCTTAAAATGAATATGTGCTTCTTCTGTCCACACCACACACTATCATGCATATAGTCATCTTGCACTTCATAGTCTTCATCAGCATTCACATTGACCGCGCTTAAAGAGCTTGAAATTTCCCCAGATACGGTGCTGGTACTATTGCTGATGGGTAGCGATTCGGCGGATGTCGACTTATGTACATTGGGAGGAGCATTGGAATTGGAATTTTTGCTGATACTGTCACTTTCGCCATTGGCTGTAAGACCTTCACGTATCACATTTATGACGCTTGGACCTGGCTCGCTTGCCTCACGCTCTGTGTCGTGGAAATAGTCACTGTCATCCAATTGAGGTTCACATTCAGCATCTGAGTACTCAGAGTTCGATTGCACGGACGCTGCGTCCGAGTAATTTGTGGGTGGTTCGACATCCATGCTTGTTTTCTTCGAAACAACGCTTCCAAGTCTCCGCGAAAGTTCCAAACGGATTGAGGACTTGTAAGAGAAGACTTATTATTACATCAAAACAAATTATATGCTTTTTACATAATATTTAACACCAATTCGTCGTTTATAAATTGATTTTCAACAAAATTCCACTAGTTTGTTTTGCTGCATTTATTAGAGATGCAAAAACATTGATGACACTATAATAATAGTTGGCGCAGCTATCGATAGTTGTTGGGCAATATCGGCTGGTCGGCTGAATCCACCGTAGGTCGATATTTCGCAAGGGCAGTGTTGCCGTTCTGCACCTAAAGCGGCAGTTTTTAAGCGCTAATAGTTTTTGACCCGAATTTTTGAAAACTTTGATTTTTTTACCCTTTTCCCAATTTATGTGCGACTTTTGCCACTTTTCAGAGATTTTTTTTATGAAGTATTAACAGCACCATGCTATTAAAAAATATTTCCTTCTGTAAGTACTAAAAAATGCATTACTTAAAACTTTTAAAGGAATACAACTCCCCTTGCAGCAACTAGAATAAGGTTTTTTGTTGAAAAATAAGTAGTTTATATTTAGCTAGCATCTATTATAGCACGAAAAATTGTAGTTGAAACGAAAGTTTATGAAAAGGAATTGTGGAGTGACAACAGTGTGGTAAGCACCACTGAGGGCTCCAGCAATCGACTCTGTGTATACTGACGGCGTTCAAGTGTAAGTTCTGCGTTCTTGACTAATTTCACCTTTTAGTGATAGAAGGATAAATTGATTGTTTGGTAAATAATTGCTTAAAATTGTTTATTATTTAACTTATATGGCCAGTTACATTTCATTCTTACCTATTCGTAGCAAAATCAACCACGCCTGTTACTACGTTCATAAGTAAGCTATTTGCAAATAAAAATAATTTTAAAATACCTAACGCTCTATATATTCGATGGTGAAAAATTCTTTTTTAATATTGCCTGATTATAAAAATGCAATAATATGACGATCGCAAAAGAAAATAAAGTTAAAAATGGTAACGTCTTGATTATAAAAAGCCAAAAAAATTATCATCAAAAAAGTAAATACAACTTATAATGGCGGCGTCTTGCGCTTATTTGCAAATAGTACCACTAATCAATACTTATTTGCGTGACTTAGTTATTTGCAAATAATACGTGCGTATAAACGTAGTATATGTGAGGTCTTTTTATCTTTTTTCCACAAAAACTACACTTCTGGCAACCTATTTTTTAAACAGATGTTTTGCGTCAAAGGCGGTGTGATTTCCAGCGAGTTGGGTTATAAGCAGAAACAGGGCAAGATGTTACAAAACTCATTAAAATCTGGTAAATTTGTAACTAATTACATTAAAAAGCTGAATTAAACAATACTTTATTTATAGCTACTCGTTTTTTAAACTTGCGCAATGCTTGCGCCATTCCAAAGCGCTTTCAACAAACTCAAACTGCAGCAGATGCAACCGCCACAGAACCTGAAAACATCGCCGATATCGAGGATCGTATTCTGAAGCACCCCGACTATTTCCAAGTGCATAACCTGTTTACCGTACGTGATCTTTTCAATGCACGAGTACACTATGGTCATAAAGAGGGATCATTGGACGACCGAATGCGCCCCTACATATATGGCAGTCGCCTGGGCCATCTTATCTTTGATTTGGATATAACAGCTTCACATCTACGTGATGCTCTGAATATAGCTGCGCATATTGCTTTCCGAGATGGCATTATATTATTTTTTAATCGAAATGCCCTCAATGCACATCTGGTAGAGAAAAAAGCTATGGAAGCGGGTGAATTTTCACACACCCGTTTCTGGCGAGGGGGTATTTTCACTAATGCTAATGTACAGTTTGGAGCAGTAACCCGTTTGCCAGATTTGTGTATCTTTTTGAATACCCAAAATAATATATTGACGCAGCATGTAGCAGTGCGTGATGCGGCGAAAATGGCTATACCCACTATTGGTATTGTGGACAGTAATAGCAATCCCAATTTGATCACATATCCGGTGCCAGGTAACGATGACTCGCCAGCCGCTGTTGAATTATACTGTAATCTTTTCAAAGCAGCCATACTACGAGGCAAGGCGAAACGACGCGAGCTTCTTGGAGAAACTGTAGACGGCGGTAACGTTGAATCGACGGTATCACAACATGCAAACCAAAATTAATAAGTATCTAAGTTCTTGTTGCAAAAGGCAATAAAATGTTGTTTTTTATGCTTAAAGGAAAACTTACATTTATTAAACCACTTTTCGTGCAATTTATAGCTAAAGAAAATAGTACTACACAGACGTTAATTAAAATCAATCTTGTACAATTCATTAATCTTCTTATAATTACCATCACAACAAATTTTTAAATGTTTTTATCATGATAATTACTACATACACAAATGTCTAAGATTTTGTCTGTGCCAAATCTGCTGTCGGATTCCAAATACCACCAGATACGAACCCTCCCATTATGGTCGCTGGACGGAGTGATGGGTTATCATTCTGTGTATAACTAGTGTTCCCTATACCCCGATATGTTGAAGCATTCCAGCCCGAGCTTTTATTTGGTTGAACTGCACTTTCAGTTGATCCGCTGCTGATGCCATTTTTAACGTACTTTATTTGTTGTTCGACTCGTGCCGACCGTTGTGACACACGTGCATTCAACATGTCTTTATGAGCGTTTACTGCCTCATACGCACGGTCGAAACGCTCGCGCTCCTTTTCATCCAATTCTTCATACTTCTTTTTGCCCAGCCGTTGCACCACTCTCTTGGCATTTGCAAACTCGCGATTCTTAAAAGGCTTCATGGCTTGACGATATTCGCGCCACAAGCGTTGCTTCTCCTCACGAGACTCGGGCGTTATTGCTTGCATAGGTGGTGGGGCTTGAGGCTTTAATATCCAATTGGATTTGGGTTTGTCATTTTTATTCGAAATATTACGAGGCCTTTGAATATAAATTTGCGGGTTCATTTTATCTTCTTGGCTAGGTATTGTATTTTTTTCTGAGGTTATTGGTGTTTTTAGGATTTTTGATAAATGCTCTTTGTGTGATACTTTATCTGTCGTAGTTGTATTTGAATGTCCTGATCTTGGTTTGACACGCGTTGAGGGACGCTTTTGTGAAGATAACCGACTATTAAAGTGTCCAGATTGGTTTATGCGCAAACCCTGCGGATTTAGACGAGGCATTCGAGGCATGGGTGGAAACATTGGTTGCATTAGGGGTCCAGATGACCATTGCTCCTGTTGAAAAAACTCGTCAAAAGACTGGGGCTGTGCAAGGGGGGGCATTATAGGTGGTATCATGGCATCTTGAAAGAAATTCCGACCGCTTCGTTGATTTTGACGTTGGGAAAACGCATTGAAATTTGGAAAATTTTGTTGCTGACTTCTAAAGAAAAGCTTGTTATTGTTTTGATTTTGTTGCAAGTTTTCTAATGACCCATTAGTATTGCGTTGATTATGCCATTTTGGACCAATAGGGTTTCTGCCCATCGGAGTTATTGAAGTTTTACGATCTTCCGCTGCATCTTTCATTTGCTTCCAATCATTAAACGACATAGTTACTTTAATTGGTGGCAGGATTGCCTTTTCATCTTGTTTCTTCGCAGATTGTGGCGCATCTTCCAATGAAGCATTTTCACATTGCTTTCGCAAACTTTCTTCGTCTTCGTCGGTAACAGTTGATGCCATTGCTGGTAATCGACGTATTATTAATGAGGAAAGAAAATTTTACACCGTGTTGGTCTTCTTTTTTCGCGTTTGTTGTAACTTTCGTTAATTTCTGCTGTCAACTCTGCTGTTTTTGGACAATACAATTTTTATAAAATTACAATACAAATACACAAGAAAATGCAAAAATTGTTGGGTAAATAAGCAAAAAAAATTGTACGGTCGTTGACAGCTGATAGCTGATACAAAATGCAGCCCTTTGTAGGGTCCTGGGATATTATACTTCCGTACTGTACTTCCGGTGGGGCATTTTGTCCGAAATTTGGTCCCATAAAAAGGTTTGTTCCATGATACAAAAAACAAGGTAGTTCCATTGTCACTTTTTCGTCGCCATATTAACCACCTGACAATTAAGCAGATTGCAGAGAACGTATATTTATAGAGAAGGTCCAAGAACTGTGAATGCCACATTTTTCGAGCCAACTAAACTGGCGAAGCGCATTTTAAGAGCGACAAATATTTGGAATACTTAACAGCGAAAGCAAAATACAAAGCAGAAAAGAAGAATGTTAACAGAGCTAAATCTCACGAGAGCATTTGGAATGTTAATTAAACATGAATATTGAAGATTTTTGTGATATTTTGGGAAAATTTTCAAATAGAAAACCCAAGTAAAAGAAATTAAATTTTTGTTCAATGATTTGTACAAGTAACATGAAATTAAATCGAAAATAGTATATAACATTCCCGATTTTTGTGATATTTTATTAATAATTGCAAATAGAAAAGTCCCATGTGTTTGTGTTTTTTTGTGAAAATATTTTTTATAAACAAAATCCTTTTCCCCGGTGATTTCCACAAATATCGTGAAAATAAATCGAAAATGTTATATAGAAGTTTTTGATTTTTGTAATATTTTGTTAGATTTTCAATTATAAAACTTTATTGGTATTAGATTTTTTTTTGTAAATAGAGTTTTTAGGGTAAAAAATAATTTCTTCTCGGTGATTTGTACACACAACGTTAAAATAAATCGAAAATATTATATAACATTTTCCAATTTTTGTGTTATTTTCAAGTAAAAAACTGTATTGGTATTGGACTAAAAAAAAAACTTGTGAAAAGAATTATTTTCCTTTTTTTTTGTAGAGATCTCACAAAACTAAGTCGAAAGTCTGTATGAATTTTTTCCATATTTTCGATATTTATGGAAATAATTCAGTTCTTAATTGTTTTCGACTTAAAAACTTTTTTTAAAAATACTAATAATCTGAAAACGTCGGATTTAACCAACAATTAGTAAAAATCTCGCTAATCTAAGCCGAAAATATTTAAGAAATTTTTCAATGTTTTCAATATTTATGGAAATAATGCAGTTTTCAAATCTTTTCTAATAAAGTGGTGCAAGCAGTTGCCATTGGATGGGTGGCAGCTTCGCTACTCATGTACATATTTGTCCCCCACATTGTCACTTACATATCTAATAATTAATTAATAAACCTAAATTTATAAAGCACATATTTGTAAACTTCATTTCATTACCTATTTCTGCTACCAAATTTTTCATGCATCCAAAAAGCCAAACAAATGAAAATGTAAGTATGTATGCATTTATAAATGTACATATGTACAAACATATATACGATTGTTCTGCTTTCGTCTTCCCCTCGCCGCTTCCATCTGCACAAATTATTCAATTTCTGCGAATCGGCACCAGATTGGCACGTGCGCGAAACCATTAACCCCATGTTTGCGAAATATTTACATTTTCGCATAAGTTTGCATTTAATAAAGCAATACTCGTACATTTTGTGTGGTGAATAATATTAATTAATTTAAAATTCTGCATATAACCATGTTCTCGACGATACATGTAACTTTCATAAAGATTAAACATAAAAATTGTGCTTCATTAACAGTTGCAACCAGCTGAAAGCAAAAAAACTATGTCCGCTAAAAGGGTTAAAAACCAACTGGAATTGACATTTTTTACACGCATACATGCATACATTCATATACACATGTACAGTGGAATAGCACTAACTTGGACATTGCATTGCTTGTACTTTGATGTGTTTGAATCTTTTTATGGTACTGAAGATTTGGTTACGGATGAAAAAAATTTAAAATAATCTGTGGATATATATAAATATATTTTTATAAACTCTTAGAGGTATAGAAATTTTCAATATTAAAAAATAAATAAAATAATTTTTTTGTATATATGTAAATTTTGTTCAAGGCACATTGACCCACCTGTACAAAAATTGTGGCGCGGCATGGACAAAAATTTTACAATTTCGGACCGAAAAATATGAAAACGAGCTAAGTTGCCACGTTACATCTGTGAACTTCCGATAAAAC